AAAGACCATTAAAAACTAAAGCCAATTAATAAGTTAGTAGACTATGGTTGTCCTAACATTTTGTTTTCAATGCAATGTGTTGTTTAGTTTTAACTTAAGAGTTAAGAGATCTCATTAGAGGCTTTTAAAATTCAAAAGGTATTTTTTTTATGCCAGAAGCCTTAGGAGCAAATTACAATTTATGGCTTTGCCAAGTACAACAAAAAAATATCTTAGAGCGTCAGTCTTGGCTAGTGACAATCATGAGCATCCTTCAATAAAGCAAATTTAGGTCAGTAAAAAAAAATTAATAAATTAATAAATTAATAAATCATTAGTGGACATTTTTCAATTGATAATATTAATATGCATCAGACAGATGCCACATGAATAGAATGTGGTATCACTTTTTATCGCTTTAAGGAGAATCACACCAGAGACCTTTTGAGTCTCATTCTTAGAAATGTCTCCTTATTTAAAGTCTTAGGCTATAGGTTCTCTTATTTATCTAAAAAAAAAAAAGCATATGAGAAATGCTGTGAAAATTGAAAACATGTGTGCCTCCTTTTTAAAATTACTGACTCCAAATATTTCCTGTTTTTACATTGATGTATATAGCCACACAAATTAGACCCAGCTTTAATGAGAGGCAGGAGTAGCTCTGGGTTACAGTAGACAAGACACTGAGCCTCTCTACAAGCATCGCAGGGCAGAAGACTACATGTTGAATTTCCTACTTACCAAAACTAAGTCGACAGGAAGAACAATTTTAATTTTCCTCTTAAACTGTTCATTCAGCTCTTTAACCAGAACAAGCACCACGATGCTCAGCAAAGATAAGAGAAGGGCTTCTAGCCGCACAGACTTGATGTTTTGAAAGACATGTGCATAGATCTACAGTCAGAAGGAAAAATACAAACGAAATGCAGGGTCACCCATGATATAGCAAAATCAAAATCTGGCTCCAAATAAACTCAGTGATATTTTGCAAAAAAAAAAAAAATAGCTGAAGGGGTGGGGAGTGGAAAGGTGGGGGCGTAGAAGGGTGTTCAGTGCTGATGGAGAGCAGGCTGTAACTCAGTTGCATGTACAAAACTGCTTTGCCCTTGGTTCTTTCACCAAACTCAGTGTTTGCTCCTTCTTTTTTTAAAATACATTTTTACTGTAAAATAGCCAGTTTACAATGTTGTGTCAGTTTCTGGTGTCCAGCACAACGCTTCAGTCATACGTGAACTTACATATATTCAGGTTCATATTGTTCTTAACCATAAGTTTCTACAAGATATTGAATATAGTTCCCTGTGCTATACAGTATAAATTTATTTACCTGTTTTATATATAGTGGTTAGCATCCGCAAATCTTGAACTCCAAATTTATCCTTTCCTACCTCCCTTTCCCACCCTGGCAACCACAAGTTTGCCCTCTATGTCTGTGAGTCTGTTTCTGTTTTGTGAATAAGTTTGTCTCTTCTTTCAGATTCTACATATAAGCGACATCACATGGCATTCCTCTTTCGGGCTCACTTCACTGCGAATGACACTCTCCAGGTCCATCCATGTTGCTGCAAATGGCATTATTTTATTATTTTTATGGCTGAGTAGTATTCCATTGCATCAAATATACCACAACTTCTTTATCCAGTCATCTGTCGATGGACATTTAGGTTGTTTCCATGTCTTAGCTGTTGTAAATAGTGCTGCTGTGAACACTGGGGTGCATGTGTCTCTCTGAATTAAGGTTCCCTCTGAATATATGCCCAGGAGTGGGACTGCTGGATCATAAGGTAAGTCTATTTTTAGTCTCTTGAGGAATCGCCAAACTGTTTTCCATAATAGCTGCACCAAACTGCATTCCCACCAACCATGTAGGAGAGCCCCACCTTTCTCCACAGCCTCTCCAGCATTTATTGTTTGTGGACCTTTGAATGATGGCCACTCTGACTGGTGTGAGGTGATACTTCA